AGCGTTTCGCTATAATTGGTTTACTGGGTTTTGATCACGGGTCGAAGATGAACACGACGGTGGTTTTAATTTTACGATTGGAGCTCGGACGGCGTCGGAATCAGACTTTAAAGAAGGTTGCTGGAAAGGGAATTTTATGAATTGGTTTTCTGTGTTTTCACGCTGAAACCAATTCATTTCCTTTAAAAGAAAAGCCTGCCGACACTCAAAGGTATAATGCAGGGCTTGGTCATTGAATTTTTATCCAACTTCTAAAACGGCCTATAAGTTTTGAAAACTTTTAATTTAGTCACTAAATTTCACCAAATTACACCGATTTAAATATTTTTTTTGTTGTTAAAAATTGCTCTTAATAAATTCATAGCCCTTGCTTTGAGTGGTCTTAGTTAAAAAGACTTAATGAATTTACTGATGTTTTTGGTTGAATATATATTCTTAATAAATTCATAACCCATTGTTAAGAGGGTAGTCCTAATCGCGGAGGACTAGATTAACTTACCGTTAGAGAGGATGAGTTTTATTATAACTCTTAATAAATTTAAACCCAAGATTTTGGGTGTTCCTACTGAGAATGACATATTGAATTCATCGATTAACGAGGTTGAATATTTATTCTTAATGATTTCTTATCCCAGAGTTTGGGTGGTTCATTTCAAACGAACTTGAAGAAATTCACCTTACCTATTGTGAGGACAAGCTATTGTAAACGATCTTAATTATTTAATAGCCCAATTTTGGAGTTTATGTTAAGATAAACCTGATGAAATAACCTACGTAAGTGAGAAGGATTAGCCACCTTCTGTGAAAAATGTTGGGCCATTTTTATAGTACACTTACTAGAATCATGAGGAAAAAGGTTATATATGCATTCATATATATATACTTTGTAGACACATTGATGACTTCGATAGATGAAGGGGTTAGTTGTGTGTTATGATTTCACCCTAATCTTATAACCTTCAAGATTCATTTACTTATCTAAGAGAAGAATTACTCATCATCACTATGTATTAGTTCCTACTACGTTCACTAGTGCTTAAGCAACTAATCTCGCTATTGCTCTTCTCTTATTTTGACTCCAAATTTCTCATTTTTAAAAAAGAATTCATTTGTATTAGAGGTGGAATGTTGGTAATAAAAAGAATTTTACATTAGGTACGAACCATTTGGTGTTATCCAATTCGATTCATATATGTTTCTTTTTAAACTAGATCCTCCCGGTAAAATATTATTTTATCATAGTTATGAACCATTTGATGTTATCCAACTCGATTCACATTAGGTATGAACCATTTGGTAATAAAAATAACATTTTATTTTTATAATTTAGGCCCCTAATTTAATCATTATTTTAAGATTTATTAATGTGATATTAAATTAATTGTTCAAAGTAATGGTACATGCTTTTGTCTTATAAGGACCTATTTTTCAGTTTAGCTTAAAGCCCCGATAATATTTGAGAGGGTTCTAAATATTTTGATTTGGACTTAATCAACTATTTAAAAAATAATTCATAGTCCATAAAAGTTGAGTTTGAACAAAAATAATTTTAACATGTTGTAATTAACGACTTGAGTAATATATTCAATTTCAAAATTCATTTTGTGAAAATATTGTTATTATTTTATTAATTTTTTTTAAAAAAAAAGTTAGACTCAAAAATATGTATTAGAAATTATTTTATATAAATCAAATACTTTTTGAGGAAGTCCGTTGATCCTCCTCCGAAGAGATTTTCGACGACTCCCTAGCTAACTTGCTCTCCTTCCCCCTTCTCACATTCCTTCGAATAACCAAATTATTTGAAAACCCAAGTTCTATAACACTTACTTCGATAACAGTGTTCCCCATCTGCTTCTGGGGGTGAAGAACAAATCAGTCTGAGTAGTGTAGTTGGTTTTCACGCTAGTCTCACACACTAGAGGTCCCGGTTCAAACCCAGGCTAAGACATTATTATTTTCCAACAATTATTGGATCGTAATTTTCAGAGATTAGTTTTTTGTTAAGTTACCCTCTAAAAGTCTAGATTTGGTAATAAAAATGGGTTCTATCTACAGGATTAACAACATCGGCTCAATTATTGGAAAAGATCTTTTCATTTGTTTTCCAAAAACTCTCAGGCCGTATACAGCATTCTCGTCTTCATTCTGCGTTTATTGGCATTGGTAATTCTATGTTTTCTTGATCGGCACGGCCCTTAATGGCATTGCTTTGAACCTCTGGTAATGGCACTGTCCTTAAGCCTGTAAGTCTCGTTCTTCAGGGCTTATGTGTCGGTTTAAAATATATTTCGATAACATCAAACAAGTCTCTTTTGTTGTTTTATGGTATACAGCAAAACGTTTTGTGTTGCCTCCATGGCAATTGAACGAAATTTTATTTATATTCTGCTTGGTGATATCATATTGAGAAATTTACGAGTGAATCTTTTAGGATGTCTTATGTCTCTACGGTGTATCGAGAGACTTGTAACAATGAAGTAATATATGTGACTACTTTATTCCACAATTATGATTATCAAACTTGGTCTCCACACAATGCTCGGTTCATTGACATGGTTATCGCAACGAATAATCTACATGTGATATATTGTAAGGGGATGCAAAAGTGTATTCCTTAGAAATTTACTAAAGTTAAATGTGGTTCACGATAGCTACAAGAAGCCCATGCTAGCCAGCGGGATGGTTCAAACTGTAATACCCAAAATTTTTATTATTCAATTTTAATTTAATTCGATATTGGAATGGTATTTTAATTGTAACAACCAACCCACTACGAGTCCAAGGTGTTACCTCATTGAGAGTACATACCATTCATACGAAATAGGCACAAATTCTGGCATTACATAAATACTTGGATTTAAAGGATTCTTTAAATGAGGAAGTTCCATGGATTGAACATTTCAAAAAATAAAGCTTCATTCCCCGTACACCTGGTTTCTGTAGGTGAGTTCCCTAGCAAGGATTTTTTACATACATAGGGTTATTTTTGTAAATATGTACTAGAGTTTATTTATTATAAAAGGAGATGTAACCAAAACCTACGAGACATTGAATAAAAATTCTAGCGCCGCCTAGGGCACCGAGGATGTAAGCACATTGCTGAACCTCTTTAAAATTCTTGTGTTCTTTCCGTTTTCTTTACCTGATTATTCAACAATTGGTATCAGATGTCAGGAGCCAAATTCGAAGTTGCGAAATTCGATAGTCAGGATAACTTCGGATTATGGAAAACAAGGGTGAAGGATCTGTTGGCGCAGCAAGGGATCCTGAAGGCTTTGCGACCTACAAAGCCGACGTCGATGGAAGAGGAAGATTGGGTAGAATTGCAGCAGCGAGCAACAGGAACCATACGATTATGTTTGACGGACGAGGTCATGTATCACGTCATGCATCTGTCGTCTCCAGATGAAATTTGGAAGATGTTGGAAAGTCAATTTATGTCCAAATCCTTAACGACTAAACTGTATCTAAAGCAACGACTATATGGGCTGAATATGCATGATGATCATGATTTAGCGCAACACGTGAATGTCTTCAATCAAATCGTTTCTGATTTGGCTCGTCTTGATGTGAAAATTGAGGATGAAGACAAAGCGATGATTATGTTACGTTCGTTGCCTCCCTCTTACGAACACATGGTGACTACTCTTACATATGGCAAAGAGACTATCAAAGTTGAGGAGATTACTGCAGCCTTGTTGGCTCACAACCAGCAGAATGCAGGGGAAAGCTCTTAAGCTGATAGCTTATATGTCAAGGGTAATCGAGACCATGGACAGAAGCTAGAGAAGGCAGAGTCTGGGAAGCGGAATTTCAGATCCAAATCTAGGGATAAGAAGACAATTCACTGTTACAAGTGCAAGGAGGCGGGACATATGAAGCGAGCCTGTCCGAAGTTGAAAAACCAGACTGATGAAAAGCGTGATGACTCATCCAAGTCTGTGAATGTGGTCGAGGATGACAATTCTAATTGTAGCGATGGTGATATGCTCTCTATTTCAACGACTTAACTGATAGATACTTGGATTCTTGATTCTGGATGTTCTTATCACATCACTCCAAATAGAGAATGGTTTTCGACATATAAGTCGGTTAATTATAGTTCTGTTTATTTGGGTGATGATTGATGTTGCAATATTGTTGGTATTGATGATGTCAGAATTAAGAAGTATGATGGTTCTATTCGGACGTTGTGTGGTGTTTGGCATATACCAGATTTGAAGAAGAATTTGATTTCTTTGGGCACTTTGCACAAGAATGGTTTTATCCCTAAGGCTGATGAGGATAGAAAAACTATTCAGATTGTTAAAGGAGCTTTGACTGTGATGAAAGGAAAGATGACTGTAGGGAATATTTACAAATTGTTAGGGAGTACCGTTGTAGGTGGAGTTCATTCTGTTGAGTCCTGTGATGATACTACCAAACTGTGTCATATGCGTCTTGCTCATCTTAGTGAACGTGGTATGGATGAATTACACAAAAGAAATCTGTTGCATGGTGTTAAAAGTTGTAAGCTCGATTTTTGCAAGTAGCGTGTTCTTGGTAAACAGACTAAAGTTCATTTCAAGACTAAGAAGCACACCACTGAAGGGATTCTTGATTATAAGCATTCTGATGAATGGGGGCCTTCCACGACATCATCTTTTGGTGGATCTAGGTATTATGTTACTTTTATTGATGATTCACGGAAAATATGGGGGTATTTTTTGAAACACAAGTATGACGTTTTTGAGAAGTTCAAGCTGTGGAAAGTTGAGGTAGAAAACCAAACAAGATGAAAAATCAAGTGTTTGCGGTCTGATAATGGTACAGAGTACACAGATTCACAGTTTCTAAACTTTGGTAAGGAGCATGGGATTAAGAGATATTTTACAGTGTGGAAGAAACCACAACAGAATGGTGTTGCGGAATGGATGAACAAATAGTTGAATGAAAGAGCCAGATGTTTGCGGTTGAATGCGGGGCTTCCCAAACACTTCTGGGCTGAAGCTGTTAACATGGCGTGCTATCTTATTAATAGATCACCAAGGGCATCATTGGATGAGAAAGGTGCAGAAGAGGTATAGACTGGCCATGATGTTACTTTTGATCACTTACAGATTTTTGGTTGTCTTGCTTATGTGCATGTACCTGCTGATGAGAGATCCAAACTTGATGCAAAATCGAATGAGTTCATTTTTCTGGGTTACAAGACAGGTGTCAAAGGATTCAAGTTTTGGGATCCAGTTGTGAAGAAAATTTTGATCAGTAGAGATGTTTTTGATGAACAACCCATGTTACAGCAGAAGAAAGACACGACAGTGGTGGATTTCGAGCAATTTCCAGTTGAGAAAACAAAAACATCTCAACCGACTTCTAGTGGTTCCGCTACGGTTGATTTGCAGGATTATAGTCTCGCCAAAGACAGGGTGAGACGTGCGAATATAAAGCCTCTGAACAGATTGGGTTTTGAAGACTTGGTCTCATTTGCACTTACTGTTAGCAGTGATGATCCTGTTACTTTTCATGGTGTTGTTATTGGTCAGGAAAACGAAAAGTGGATGGCTACCGTGGTTGAGGAGATAGAGTCTTTGAATCACAATCGTACATGGGAGTTAGTTTGCCTTCCTGAGAGTAAGAACCCTATTGGTTGCAAATGGGTGTATAAGAAGAAACCAATAGTAACAGAAATAGAAAAGGAAAAGTTCAAGGCTCGTTTGGTAGCAAAGGGTTTTTACAGCAGAAAGGAGTTGATTGTGATGAAATTTTTTCTCCTGTGGTCAGACACACTTCAATCCGAGCAGTATTTGGCTAGTTGGGATTTGCATTTAGAGAAGATGGATGTTAAAACTGCTTTTTTCATGGTGATTTAGAGGAGCAAATCTACATGCAGTAGCTTGAAGGTTTCACTCAACCTGGAAACGAGCATTTAGTTTGCAGATTGAAGAAATCTTTATACGGTTGAAACAGTATCCGAGACAATGGTACAAACGGTTTGACTCCTATATGATCAAGATTGGCTACAAGCGATGTGAGTATGATTGTTGTGTCTATGTTAAGAGCCTTGATGATGGTTCTATTATTTTTCTGTTACTGTATGTTAATGATATGTTAATTGATGCGAAGAACATGGATGATGTTATCGGTTTGAAAGCTTTATTGAGTTAAGAATTTGATATGAAAGATTTAGGTACTGCAAAGAAAATTCTTGGAATGGAAATTTGCAGGGACAGAGACTCAAGGAAATTGTGACTATCTCAATGGGTTATGTTGAGAAAATGCTAGAAAGGTTTGCGATGAGAAGCGCAAAACCAGTGAGCACTCCATTGGCGAATCACTTTAAGCTTTCATCAGAACAATGCCCTAAGACAGATAAGGAAGTTGAAGATATGGCAAATGTTCCGTATTCTAATACTGTTGGCAGCTTGATGTATGCAATGGTATGTACTCGTCCTGATTTAGCTCATGTTGTTAATCAAGTTTGTAAGTACATGTCTAAACCTGGTAAGCAACATTGGGAAGTAGTCAAGTGGATTTTTAGGTACTTAAGGGGTACTGTGGGACATGTAATTGTTTTTGGTAGTAAGTGGGATAATCCTTTGGTTGTAGGATATGTGGATTCAAACTATGCGGGTGATTTGAATAATAGAAGATCTACGACAAGGTATGACTTTACTCTTGGTGGAGGGCGTATTTGTTGGAAGTCTACTGTTCAATCTGTTGTGGCATTATCTACAACTGAAGCTGAATACATGGCAGCGACTGAAGCTACAAAAGAAGGTTTATGGCTTACTAGTTTAGTGAAGGAGTTGGGTGTTCAACAATGTGGGGTTCAATTTCTTTGTGACAATCAAAATACTATTCACATGGCTAAGAATCAGATATATCATACTAGAACTAAGCATATTGATGTAAGGTTTCACAAGATCAGAGAGTTGGTTGCATCTGGAGAGATTTTGTTTCAGAAGGTACATACTGATGAGAATGCCAACGATATGTTCACCAAGCCAATTAAGACAGACAAGTTCATGCATTGCTTGGACTTGTTAAATGTTTTGAGTTGTTAAAGAAGTAAGGTAACCTAACCCACATTGAATGTTTCCTATGGGGTAGGATATTCGCCAAGGTGGAGATTTGTTAGGTATGGCTCATAAATATACGGTACAGGGTTATTTTTGTAAATATGTACCAGGGTTTATTTATTATAAAAGGAGATGTAACCAAAACCTATGACATTGAATGAAAATTCTAGCGCCACCTAGGGCACCGAGGACGTAAGCACATTGTTGAATCTCATTAAAATTCTTGTGTTCTTTCCGTTTTCTTTACTCGATTATTCAACAGTTAGTAAAATCTTGAGAAAATTGACGAAAAACAAGCACAAATACATCTTCCTTTCGCTCAAGATTTCATCACAACTTTTCATCAGTTTGCTCAAGAGAAGAGAAAGGCATCCAAGGCTATTTTGTGCAAATTGATGAACCACAAGCACAAGTACATCTTCCATTCGCTGAATGGGTCTCCACAAAATATCATTTATTTTTCCATTAATATGATGCATCATCCAAAACTATCATCGTTGACTAAATTTGGTGTCCATTAATCGTTTGACATGTTCATTTGATGTTCCTTGTTGTGTTTACTTATTGATGGATTGCATAATTGAAGCTTTTAAAGCTACATTTGGTTAGCATATGCGTGGGAACCACAAGGATACTATAGCTACTGCAGAAGTAGAGGATGTAGTCAATGTTGAAGCTGATGTCCATTACTCAAGGCTGCTTCTGCTTCTTTTTGTATCGGTGGGGTTTCATATCGGTTTGGATCATTCTCGGGCATATAAAACAAAATGATCTCAACCAATTTATTACTTTTGAAACTTCAGTAGGAAAAACAGAAACTTACTCAAATATTGGTGATAATTTGTGTAGTTTACCTATTTCAATTTTTTATATTCAATGTGTTACGTCAACAATCTGTTAAAATCTAACAGTAGCTAATCCTATCTTAATTAAATAAAAACGAGAATAACTAAATATTATGTGACTTGTTTGTCTAACAAGGTGTTCCTCTTGAAGCACTTCGTTTAAAGTTATTCCCATACTAATAGAGCTGGAGAATGGTTAAGTTATTCGCTCCAGAGTATTGTCTTGACATGGAGAGGCTTAGTACACAAATATTCACATATTATTAATTCTCGATAACAACGCTATAATTTTATTCTGTGAATATAATACTTATGTAAGTGTATTGGATTACAAGTAATGTAATAGTGAATATGTCTCTATAGATACTGGGTTGATGATAAATTAGATAAATTATCGCTAGTTAGTAATAATAATATGGTTGCAAAAACAATGAGAATAAGAATCATGCAAAATATTGAGCTAACAAAAGTGAATGATGATGGGAGAAGCGACAAAGGAATGCTACAGCTCAAGATCAATCAGGAATTAAAGCAACGAATAAGGGGTTTTTAAGTAGAGCCTTGGCTTCACTTCTGTTGAAAATTCAATATTAGCCTATATGTTCACACCTAAATTAATTTGATGTCATTACTTACATCAATTTAGTTTTGATGTCATTGCTTACATCAATTTAGTTAGGTGAAAATTAAGTATTTTTCTCATGTTTTAATTTCAATAGTTTAGATTATTTAGTGTTTATTTTAATGAGTGGTTTAGATTGTTTCTTGTAACCTATAAATACCCTACTTGTATTTGAGTTTTATCATCCAACAATCAAAGCTTAATTATAAGCATTTGAAAGCTTTCTTAAGAGTTCTTCCCTTTTGCAATTTTGTGAGATTATTCTAAAGAGAGTTTTTTTTGGATCAATTAGAGTTTTTACTCTATTTTGATTCAACAATTGGTATCCGAGCCACGTTTTTTAAGATCTCTTGAAATTCTGAGTATGCTCTATGGCTGCAGTTTTTTAACTGATCTTCCACATCAGAAAATATTTCTTGAGTTATTGTCGAGGTTATTACAAACCTTGTGGAGCTTCTTTGTGTTTAGAGTAATTTAGTACTCTGCACGTTTGTTACTCAAGCTTGTTCGGTGTAGTCAAAGCCTTGCCGTTAAGATGGGTGATCTTCAAGTAGTTGGAGGAATCAAGAAGCTCAACAACAAAAACTACAACACGTGGGCAACATGTATGGAGTCATACTTACAAGGTCAAGACCTTTGGGAGGTTGTCGGTGGTGGTGAAGTTACACAACCGGCGACAGAAGATGCCAATGGAATCTTGCGAAAGTGGAAAATTAAAGCAGACAAAGCAATGTTTGCTTTAAAGACCACAATTGAAGAAGAAATGTTAGAGCACATCCGGGATGCTAAAACACCAAAGGAAGCATGGGACACTTTTGTTACACTCTTTTCGAAGAGGAACGATACAAAATTGCAACTTCTCGAGAATGAACTTCTATCAATGGCGCAACGCGACATGGTGGTTGCCCAATACTTTCACAAGGTGAAGTCGATATGCCGTGAAATTTTAGAATTAGATCCGACAGCTGCTATTGGGGAAGCCAGGATAAAAAGAATAATTGTCCATGGTTTGAGACCCGAATATCGAGGGTTTATTGCCGCTGTACAGGGATGGCCGACACAACCATCGCTTGTTGAGTTCGAAAATTTGCTTGCAGGTCAAGAAGCCATGGCCAAGCAAATGGGAGGAGTCTCGTTGAAGGGTGAAGAGGAAGCGCTCTACACCAGCAAAAGCAGAGGCACTTTTCAGCGGTATACTGGCAATGGATCTAAAAAGGATGGTGACAAGGTGAAAAATTACCAAGGAAAGGAAGGCCCTCATTCAGGGGGAGCTTCCAAGAATCGCGGTAATAGTAGAAAGTTCGATGGCAAGTGTTACAATTGTGGGAAGATGGGCCATATGGCAAAAGACTGTTGGACCAAGAAAAAGCCTGTTGAAAGTAATACTGCTACTTCTTGTTCGAAGGAGAATAGTGAAGATGGTTGGGATGCTGAAGCGTTATTTGCTACGGAGGAAGAAGAATTAGCTCTCACGTAACAACACCAGAACGGATTGACTACAAGAATGATTGGATCGTAGATTCTGGCTGCTCAAATCATATGACGGGTGACAAACAGAAGTTGCAAAACCTGTTTGAGTACAATGGAGGTCGTGTGGTGGTGACAGCTGACAACTCAAGGTTACCGATAACTCACATCGGTAAGACAATAGTTACTCCTCGATATAATACTAACCAGGTGCAACTCCAAGATGTTTACCATGTCCCAGGAATGAAGAAAAATTTGCTATCTGTGGCTCAACTAACATCATCAGGCCATTATGTCTTATTTGGTCCCCCAAGACTTGAAGGTTTATCGTGACGTCAAAATCACAGAAACACCAACAATGGAGGGACGACGTTTGGAATCAATTTACGTGATGTCAGCAGAGTCTGCATATGTAGACAGGACAAGGAAAAATGAGACATCAGATCTATGGCACATGTGGTTAGGTCACGTTAGCTATTCCAAGCTAAGTGTGATGGTGAAAAAGTCGATGCTTAAGGGGCTTCCTCAACTAGACGTGAGAACAGACACGGTCTGTGCGGGATGCCAGTATGGTAAAGCACACCAATTACCATATGACGAGTCGAAGTTTAAAGCAAAAGAACCTTTGGAGTTGGTTCACTCTGATGTGTTCGGACCGATTAAGCAACAGTCAATTAGCGGTATGCGGTACATGGTAACATTCATTGATGACTTCTCCAGGTATGTGTGGGTTTTCTTTATGAAAGAAAAATCTGATACTTTCTCAAAGTTTAAAGAGTTCAGAGACTCAACTGAAGGAGAAGTGGGAAAGAAGATATGCTGCTTGCGCACAGACAATGGAGGATAATATAGATCAAACGAGTTCTCTCAATACCTAAGGGAATGTCGAATACGTCATCAGTACACTTGTGCCAACACGCCACAACAGAATGGTGTAGCGGAAAGAAAAAACCGGCATCTTGCAGAAATTTGTCGAAGTATGCTACATGCAAAGAACGTATCTGGAAGGTTTTGGGCTGAAGCAATGAGGACTGCAGCCTTGTGATCAACAGACTTCCTCAACCAAGGTTAGGATTTGTTTCACCCTTTGAGAAACTATGGAACATAAAACCTACAGTTAGCTACTTTCGAGTATTTGGCTGTGTATGTTATGTGTTTGTTCCTGATCATTTACGGAGCAAATTTGACAAGAAAGCTGTTAGATGTATCTTTGTGGGATATGACAGCCAGAGAAAGGGGTGGAAATGTTGTGATCCAATTAGTGGAAGATGCTACACGTCACGAAATGTGGTATTTGATGAAGCATCTTCTTGGTGGTCCTCAGAGAAGGAGGTGTTGCCAGATTCGAGAGAATTTGGAGACAAACTACAACAAAAGATGGGGGAGCATGATGTTCAACTTCAAACAAGTTCAGATGAATCAGAAGATCCAAATGGCGATGATGTCGAACAAAGAGTGACTCAGAATCCGTGGCAAACTGGCGTGTATCAACAACCAAACAAAGAAGGTGGGCCTAGTGAAACAGAAGAATCAATTCCACAATCTCAACTTCGAAGGTCAACAAGAATACGAAGGCCAAATCCCAAATATACCAATGCAGCCATAATTGAAGAAGCAACGGAGCCTGAGACGTTCGAAGAAGCATCGAAGAGTTCTGAGTGGATGACAACTATGAAAGAAGAGATCGATGCACTTCAGCAAAATCAAACTTGGGATATTGTACCAAAGATAAAAGATGTGAAACCCATATCTTGCAAATGGGTTTACAAGATAAAGCGCCGTCCAGATGGGTCAATCGAGAGGTACAAAGCGCGATTGGTAGCTCATGGTTTCTCTCAACAGTATGGATTAGACTATGATGAAACATTTAGTCCAATGGCGAAACTTACAACCGTACGAGTCTTACTTGCACTTGCAGCCAACAAAGACTGGAACTTGTGGCAGATGGATGTAAAGAATGCTTTTCTTCATGGAGAGCTAGATCGAGAGATCTACATGACCCAACCAATGGGTTTTCAGAGTCAAGATCATCCTGAATATGTGTAAGCTGCTAAAAGCACTCTACGGATTGAAACAAGCACCTAGGGCGTGGTATGGTAAGATTGCTGAATTTCTAACGAAAAGTGGTTATTCAGTAACACCTGCAGATTCTAGCTTGTTTGTCAAAGCCAATGAAGGTAAGCTAGCTATCGTGCTAGTGTACGTGGATGACTTAATCATAACCGTTGATGATGAGGCAGAAATTCTTCAGACGAAGGAGAATTTATCAGTTCGTTTCCAGATGAAGGAACTTGGACAACTTAAGCACTTCCTTGGTCTAGAGGTTGATCGTACACACGAAGGAATATTTCTATGTCAACAGAAATATGCTAAAGATTTGCTGAAGAGGTTTGGAATGCTCGAATGCAAGTCAACTTCAACGCCAATGGAACCAAATATCAAAATGTGTGCACATGAAGGAAAAGATTTGGAAGATGCAACAATGTATCGACAATTGGTAGGTAGTCTGATCTACTTAACCTTGACCCGACCTGACATTTCTTATGCAGTTGGTGTGATGAGTCGGTATATGAAAAATCCAAAGAAGCCTCATTTGGAAGCAGTTCGACGAATACTGAGATATGTGAAGAATACAATTGACTATGGTCTTTTGTACAAGAAAGGTGAAGACTGCAAGTTAGTTGGTTATTGTGATGCTGATTATGCAGGAGATCATGACACCAGGAGATCAACAACTGGGTATGTGTTTAAGCTTGGCTCCGGAACAATTTCTTGGTGTAGCAAAAGACAACCAACGGTATCATTGTCAACCACTGAAGCTGAGTATCGAGCAGCAT